TGGAAAAGTGGTTTGTAGGCGCTCGATAGAAGACAATTTAAAATAAATGTATAATAAAAGGAGAGTAAAGTAGAATCTAGGGCGCCACTTTGCGTAAAGCCTGGGCCGATTGATATCTCTACTCGCCCATGACACAGAATGACAATTATCTCCAGGCCGCCTCAACCGATGGGGGCGGGTAGCAGATTATAAGTTAGAAGCAAACCAAGCGTTGATTCTCGGGTGAGGTTCCGCATTGTTCCGAGTCTTGGCTCGACAGCGACTCATCGACAGATATGTATGAACAACGCGGACTGCAAAGACTGGAACGTACAACCTCACCGGGTTTTCAGGATTCTGCGTTATACACCTCTAAAATCATTGAATTGGGAGAGTGGACCAACTTGAAAGCAGAGTCTGCACTTTGCTGTGCGCTCTCGCACGAATCATGGTGTGCCGCATGTCCAGGGCTCTGCTCTGTTGTTATTCCAGAAGAGTCCTTTGTATTGATTTTCTTGAAGTCTGCAATAGTCCTTTTTCCAGGTAATCTGTCAGCTTCTACAGGACTTGCCCGAGGAATATGGTGGAGGAGGTCGAGATTTGATCCGGGACGGGGGAATTAAATTCTGGATTATGCAGGTAGACCATCGTCATGATTGAGCAGAGCCAAGGCCCAAGTACATAAGCCGCCTTTGACCTCGGGTCTTTATGTAGGCCTATGTAGGCCATACTTCAGGGACGTCCGAATGGGCTTGATAATGATCTGACATGTTGTTCGGGGGGCCGTTGCTTATTAGCTAGTGCTCGCTTGGATAGCATGTTGTGTTGATGTTGTGCCCACCTGCACGAGCCGCCGTTGATTAATTGATGATAAATGCGGGCCAGTGCCCCGCAGTGCCCAATGATGCCACTGCGGATTCAGAAGTAGGTCGGCAAAAGAGCAACGACAGAGGACAGTGACGTTGAAGGGTGATCATGATGTTGAGAGTTGAGCCACTGCACCATGTATGAGGCGGTCCGATAAAGTATGGGTAGCCAGCCTGAGAATGCATAAGCATCAACTCGGGTAAGGTCTCGTCCGATGATTCGAAGACATAAGAAGCTGTAATGCGAGATGAAAATGGAAATATCAAGGAGGGTCGGTGGGCGGGATCTTCAGGTCCGACGACAAAAAAAGCAGGCCAGAGTCACTGTGACCGCGATGGAGGTCAATGGCTTGATGTGATGTTGATTCATTGGACTGACTTGCCCATCCGAGGATCGACTACCGGATGCGGAAGCTCAAAATTCGCTAAGAACGGAGGAATACGACAACATGAGGAGTTGGGTCCTTTTGCTGGCAGCTGGGGCCCCGTAAATTTAAATCTGGAGAGCTCTCAAGGATCATGCGGTACCACCCAGGGTCGGCTTGCTAGAACGTTAAATCGACATTAAATGTCAAGTTGGCGATGAATAAGTTGGTGAGAGAGAGATCCGTGCGTCAAGAACGGTTCATCCGGGTGGTTGAATACACAGGTGTCAGTCGTTTCAAGCTGAATAGAGAGTTCCGGATCGTCAAGTGGAGGGCTTCGGGTAATGGAGCCGATATCTGTCTCCAGACTGCGTCCAGCATGGGTCTTGGCGTCAATTCAGTGTTTCGTTATGCATTGCCTGCCATAAAAGCCAGCGAACAGCAGACCGAACACGGTTTTAAGGAAACGTAAAAAGACGAGACCTAAGTATTGGTAATGATCCGGACATCACCGCGGCTATGATGTGGGCACGTGCAGCTTGCAACGTCCCACGATGATGCCGACTGTTTCTGAGTCACTGCTCGCCGCTCGCAAGCTTAATATTATATCAGGACTGTTATCATCTGCTTTCTATCCTGGGACTGCATCTGATCAATTGGCAAGGAACTTTGCTCCGAGTTTTTGCCCCGCTGAACCAGGCACTGCCCTCTATCAGCCTCTATCCATATCTTGTCCCACCATTCGAATGATATCAACGCCATGTCCAAATTAGTCACTCAAAATGTTTGACGCTTGAGAAAATTCATGCACAGCCGCGACAACCGGTTGAAATCATCCTCCGCGTGCCGTATAATACTAATACCTCATCATATAGCTCATCTTGGCCGTCGATCCTTCATGCCAGTTCCGATGACCTTCCAGAAATCCCCGCCTAGTTTTCAGCATTCACCGCCTCCTCTCACACCAAGCCCTCGAGAACTCAGCTTCCAAACCACCCTGATCAGTATACTGGTGAAGACGGTGAGTGTCAGTTGCTTCGACACACATTGATACTAACCGATCCTAGGCCTCTATTTACTCCACAGTGCGATTGCCATCGGGGCGTCGTTAGTGTGCCCTATTTGCTGTCACGAAATCTTCTGACTTGTCCACAAGTTATGATTCCATTGAGCGGTACCCGCCCCCGCGTGCCCACCCACAAACACGCAAAGTGGTCTTCGAGATAATTCTTTCCTGGACTAAGAACGCGCTGCACGGTCCGCGCGTCTTGTGGGTCCACGGGGAAGCAGGCTCCGGAAAGTCTGCTATCTCACAGACGGTTGCTGAATACTGTGCTCAAAGCGGGCAGCTTGGGGCGACCTTTTTCTTTTCGCATGGGGAAAGGAGATCTCAGCGATGGAAGACTCCTCTTCCCCACCATTGCATATAAACTTGCCGGCGCGATCCAGGCTTGCGTGCATCATTATCTCGGGCAATCCAGGTCAATCCCTCAATTCTTACGCACTCGCTCGAGGTGCAAGTCCAAAAAGCTCATCGTTGAGCCATTCAACATGATTTGCCACCCTCCGATTCCAACGCTCGTGGTCATTGACGTCTTGATGCTTGTGAGAGCGCCGAGATGCAACACCGTATCTTGACCCTCATTGCACAGCTCATCGTCGTCCATCGACTTCCCCTGTGTTTCCTCATCACGAGTCGATTACAACCACATCTTCAGGTCACATTCGAACGCCAGTCTACCGCAAACTCTCCACTCGCATCCCGCTGGACGTGTTCATATCCGACACGGACATCAGGACTTTTTTGCGGAGCGAATTTGCCACCATCCGACAATACCACCAGCATGCTATGGTTGGAATCCCAGACCCGTGGCCATCCGAGGACGTCATCGAGCTCATCGTACAAAAGTCCGGCGGTCAGTTCCTGTATCCCGCGACCGTCCTCAAATATGTGGATGACAACTCTGGGCGGGCCGGCCGAACGCCTGACGGAGGTCGTGGTCGCTGCCGTCTCAGCCTCTGAGGTGACCCTATCGCCGACCGACCAGCTCTGCCACCACGTACTCTCCACGAGTCCCAATCCCACGGCTCTCCTGAGAATCCTGGGACCCCTCGTCGTGCTGTTTGCGCCGCTTCCGCAAAGGGAACTGGGAAGATGCTCATCGGTGTCGAACCTGGAGAGGTGAGCGCGACCCTGCGCGACATGCACTCTCTGGTCGATGTCCCCGACCCCCGAACATCCTCCCCCATTGCAGAGGGTGCGCATTTCTCAGCCCTCTACCACGGAATTTCTCGTGGATATCCACCGCTCGCTGCCGTTCTGGATCGAGCCAGGGAAATACCATGCGGAGATCGTGCGTGGATGCATACACTACATCGCAGAATTCATGGACAACACAGAACATCTCGATCTGTGCGTCGATTTCCGTGCTACGGCCATTTTATGTGCGGCCTAACTCACAGCTAGCAGGTTTATACCAATATATACGGGCGCAAATGGACCCGCCACCTTGCGCAGGCGATTCCTTCGCCCGAGCTGCTCGACGATTTGCGCGAGCCGCGATTCATGTACTCTCGCGTGCCGTCCGAGGTACGAGCCGTGCTTGGGTGGTTGAAAGTACGTTTCCCTCAGACGATCTCCGATATGTTGCTTATGTGCGTGTAGAGCATACCACACGCCCCGCATGATGTTGTGCAGCTCTGGCAGGGCTGGCTGGCGCAAGTGGGCCCACCGACTGCGTTTTACGTTCCATAATCCCGACCGGAAGATATATTCTACAAGGCCTGGCCTTTCGAGTTGCGTCCGCAGCTAGCGGCGGGAAGAATGGCGTTTTTAGGGCTGAAAAACCTACGCATATGGCTCCATCCGACCTCCCCGCTCCTGCGCTGTCCGAAAACGGGAAGACCCCACCCCACGTTTGTCCGAACTGGATACGGAGGAAATCTATAATAAATGTATTTACCGTTGTTCTTGCTTGCCGATATTCAGTTATTTCCGCGAGGCAATATCCGCTTCGCTGGGTACAACCCTGAACTCTAATTTGGGCCGTTGCCAAAGTTTCGGGTGGCCTCAATTCACGGAAGTAAAGATCTAGGATGAGTACGCATCTGCTTTTTTTTTCTTGCATGTCGCGCCGCGTGCAGGCAGCACAGTCAGTATGACTGAACCCGAGTCATTCCACGAGTTAACGAAGGTGCACTGCCACAAGGCGGGTAAAAACTAGTGCATCCGGTGTCGGACAACGCTTCAGCTGCCGCGTAAAATATGTGGAACCAAGAGCCATTCCGCAGGTAAAAATCCGTCACGTTTTGAATCCGCTACAAGAGTCTAAATATTGGACGAGGCCAACTCACGTTTCTCCTTTCGCTAGAGCGCTCGTACTTGGTGTGAAAATTGGTTTTAAACTATCTTCAAGGACGTGGAACCGACTTTACGGGAATTTTGCAAATAACTAGGTAGCCCGAACAGCGGATTCAAAGGGACTCAGAGAAACTCCACCCGCTTAGGTTTTAGCCGGCTCCACTGTGCTAGAAGGAAGGTCCTCCATTCACTTCGTTTTCACGATCCGGACTACTTAAACAAAGTATAGATGAATGCTTTTTTGTTCCACTTTGCCACCAATGGTGCAGAGGGTACTGACAACTTCCGCGAAGTTCTAGTCTCACTTATAGTCAGACTCCACGAGATTTTATGACAGTCAATAAATATTTTTTTTCGGCTAATTTGAACTTGTTCAGGTAGACATTTGCCAACGGACATGGCAGTTGGTTCTTATTTTCCAGCTTAACGGTTTGGATGGCCGAGTGGTCTAAGGCGCTAGTTTCAGGATTAGCATCATCTCAGATGCAAACCATGTGCTCACACACATACTAGTCCGAAAGGGGGCGTGGGTTCGAATCCCACTCCAATCATTTTTGCTGTACCCCAACTCATTCTCTTTAGTTTCCCCAGTGGAGCGAGAGCAAGTACAAACACGCATGTTCAGTCTTTTCTCGTGTACTTGGTTCTTGCAAAACTTGTGTAATTGTATCACTTGTAAATACGGACTGTAAACATATCCAAGAAGAACAAACAGAAATTCAGTTTCAACGATATTTAATTGCCAGATCCTTCCCTTCCCAAGAGCTTTCTGACCTTGCTGTCCCTGGCGCTGTTCCTCACCAGCTTAGACTGCATCTTGGGACCCTCGCGATGATCATGAGTGAATGTTAGTATCTGCACACAGATTATGGTGGCCACACCATCAGTATTTGGAGTACTGTGGAGATGCGGGTCAGCGTCAAGGACAGGGGATGAGGAGAGTTGGACATACCACAACACTGTCCTCGACGTAATGCGTGGAGCAGTCCATCTCGGCGAGCGGGGACGATGCTCGTCCTCTTGACTGTTGGAAAAATCAGATTTGAACAAGGCCAACCTCGAACACAGCAACTAACCGATCTTGTAGCCGAAGTAGAGGATGACGGTGAAGGGGATGTTGATGTAGTCGGAGATGAACGACCTTGTAGTCGAAGGGCTTGGTCATGAAGGTTTGTGTAACCTGCAGGAAAGCATGAGCAGCCGGGCGGGTGAGTAGGGATAAAGCGACGTACCGTTGAAGAAGATGATGACAAGGAACGAAACAAGCACGACCCATGCATCGAAGGGCTGGGTCCATGATTAAAAAGGCAGCTCATCGCGGCTAAGTCCCTGGAGCTTCATGGCCTTGTCTGTGGGGGCATGAGCTTCCAAACGAAGCGGCGGGATTCGAGGGCACGCACACCACCGGATGTGCGCCAGAGCAATACCAATCCATGTGATCATGGATCCGAGAGTTGTGATGTTGGCAAGCCAGTTGAAGGCGTCGTTAGCGCCCTGCTTGCCGCAAGCGAGGTATCCCAGGCAGGCGAACAAGGAGCAGACAGCAAGGGAGTAGACGGGAACACCGTTCGACATCACCCGGGAGAAGATGCGAGGGGCCTTGCCTTCCTGTGCGAGCATGAAGAGCGAACGCGAGGTGGAGTACAGGAACTCGTTGCCGGAGGAGAACGCAGAGGTGAGAACGACAGCGTCTTCAAGGACTTAGGTAAAATACCATAGAGATGAAGAGGTACTACTCACTGATGATGTGGTCGAGCACCTTGATGCCAGAGGACTGGATGATAATGACGAACGGCGACTGAGCGGCGGTACTAGCCCCTTGGGCAACGGCTTGGAGGAGATGTTCGTTATCGCGGCTGACGCACATGCCGATGAGCAGGATGGAAAAGACGTCTACGGATGAGGTTAGAATGAAGATCAAATCGGTCGGAAAATGCGACATACAAAGAAGGACAATGCGGTAGAAGATGGCGCGGACAGCGGTCTTCATGGTGACACGGGGGTTGGAAGCCTCGAGACAGATCATGGCGAGACCCTCCATTCCTCCGTCTTGAAACATGATCAGATTGGGCAGACGGCTCAATGAGAAGAAGAAACATACAAGAAAAGGCAGCCTGAGTAAGCACAGCCCAGAAACCGAGGAAGCGAGCTTTCGACTCGGGGACGATGTTGAAGAACGCGTTGTTGAATGGCTGATCCCTCCAGTAGCGGAAGCCACGGCGGTCATGGTCAGGTGCACCACCGAGGTCAACGACGAGCAACACGATAACCAAACCGATGACGGTGATGATTTTGATGAAAGCGAAGACTAGAATAGACGATAAACAACGGGTGTGCACAAAAAAAAAAGGAATTGGACGTACCGAACTCGAATTCACCAAAGTATTTGACACCCGCAAGATTGACGAGGATGATACCTATCAACATGACGGTGATGTAGATGGCCCTGTGGTTCTCGTTCTTGTCCCAGTAGGAGATGACAATAGACTGAAAAATTGTGAGAATTTCGAGATCCAGACACGAGAACGCAACGTACTGCGGCAGTGATCTCGACAGGTGCGGTTATGACAGTCTGGAACCAGAATTGCCATCCCATGGCGAAGCCCATCGCGGATCAATATACCGAGTGGAGAACTCAATGAAGCCTCCGGCGGAAGGATCCCAGACCATCATTTCTCCAAGAGAGTACCTGTAAGGAGCAATCAGCAGACATCGATGGAACCCACTGCAAGTTTATGGGTACATCATCAAACCGACGAGCATGCCAACGATGAGGTAGCCCAGAAGGGCACCAACCGGACCACCGTTGGCCAGCGCTTTCCCAGACTGTAGCAATGGATGATAAGAGGGAGATCCCTGCTGAACGACCAAAGAACTTACACCCAAAAACACTGCCAAAAATTAAAACCTATTCAAATTAAAGAGGCGAATAAAGCTGCTTACATCCCGTCCCAATGGTACCAGCGATGGCAATCATGGAAATCTGCCTTCCCTTGAGGGGAGCGATGCATGTGGCCATTGTCCTTGTTGTGGACAACATTCTCGGTGGCGATCTCACCGGAGCTGGTGGCATTCTTCTCGATGTCGTCCGAAGACATTTCGATGGACGAGGGGGGGACGACGGGGGAGTGAGAATCGACGCTCCATATTATCGTCCTGCGAGATCCGACGTGCCGGATTCACCGAACATAAATCGAACATGGCATTCATTCAATGGCATCTTTGTGGCATCTGCCAACGAAGCCAAAACGAAGCCGCGCGTGGCTTATTTGTTTAAATGTTTGTCCTATTTCTTCCTCGCAACAAGCGGATTCAATATTCAATATCGGTAATGGCCACATACTTGTCTCGTTCCACCGTCTCCTTGGGGTTTTGACCGCGGGCTCGCGGCAACTTCCGGCTTCTAGCCTTGAAAGAAATCTGATCGGGAGATGCTGATCTTTCTAGACAGATGTTTTATCAATTCTAGGCTTTTCAGCGGCCCTTGGGGTTCGTATTCGCCGACATTTAGCTTTGGGATCCTTGCTCATCCGCCATGATGTGGTCGCAAAATCTTCGTGCATGGCGACGCTGCCGACAGTTATCTCGGTTTTTATATGTGGTAGTGTGAGTCGGCGACCCAAAGCGACTAGTCATTTTTGACAGTCGGTGACTAGTCAGCGACTAGTCATCAGGCCACCTGAGCTAACCGAAGCTAGCCGAGCGGATGCTCCCGCGTCTGTCACAATGTGCGTCGCTGTTGTACTCCGTTCCGATGACCGACTAAACTGACTTTACTGACTATCAGGGACCTGTCCAACACTGTTGGCGGCCAAAACCCTAATGTCGTAAGTTATGTAACCCTCTGCACCGCCGCCCAACAGGCGCCGGCGCCGGCTATATAAAGGATCGCAGCGCGCAGCAGCCTTCACACGTATCCTTCAATCCACCATGCACAATGCCTTGGTGGTCCTCATTTCCCTCGTCGTAGGCTTGGTGTCTGCAGTTATGTGAGTCCAGATTGAACCCCCCTCTGACGACCGCCGGTTCTCATTTCCTGAAGATCCATGGCGCTCATGCTGGCGATCACCATGCCCTTCGCGGGTGTGCTGATTCGCTACCGAGCGAACTACACACCCAAAACTGGTACGGTCCGCCTTGATGACGAAGCTGGCCCGGGTATTGCGCCCCGCACCGATCCATCCATTGGGTATTTCGGGATGATGAAGCGCGTCCACCGTCTCGAGGGATGGGCTGGCCTGTACAAGGGAACCAGTGAGTGCCGGCCATCGAAGTAGTGGTACCTCACGCCAACGTGTCGCTAGTGCCGACTATTGTCGCCAGCCTAATCGTCGTGGCTCCTTTCACCCTTCTTGCTGCGTTGCAATACAGCCATGGCCGCATAATCATTATACCAGACCACTCGAGCATTGTTCGATCGAGTAAGATTATTCTGCTCGCTTTCGGTTAGACACCTTATCCATTCGGCAGTCGTATATCTCGGGATGTCTCTGATTCCCGCGCTGCTCTTTGTTCCCTTGCAGATCATCTATAACCGGCGCGTTTCCCTCTTTCCGGTCCCTTCATTCACTCGTTAATCTACCGTCGCAAACAGTGCAATCACCACGCCCCACAGGCTTGCCGCCTTCGACGCACGCACCGCGCTGCGCGTTCTCCTCTCCCCGGCTGAGCGCGCTCAGCCATTGCGCCTCTACCTCGCCCCAGGAGTTGCCTTTGCAATCCTCCTCAAGTCGCTGGTCTCCCCGGCTCTCATGATCCTCCGTGCCGCCACAAGCTGGCTCCCGGGCGGCTTCGCACTCGGCGGTGCCATCCCCGTCGTCTTGCTTACCACCGCGATCCTCACACCGCTCGAGGTCCTCGTTGCCCGCCTCTCGCTGCAGCGCCGCGACGGCGCGCCTGTCGTCGAAGTCGACGCCGCAGCGGTCCCACCCCCGCCTGTATACTCTGAGGAACCGGTGATGGAGTTCCGCGGCACGGGCGAGAGTGCTGACTTCGACGGTGGGAAGGAGCCGTACACGGGTCTACTCGACTGCGCGCGGAAGATCGTCGCCGAGGAGGGCTGGGTCGTACTCACCCGCGCGTGGTGGCTTACTGTAGTCTTGCTCCTGCTTGGGGGGCTGTCGCAGGAGCTGGCGCCGCCGCGAGCACCCCATCTATCGGGGCCGGTCTGTAAAATGGGCTGCGGGGGTTACTTCTGAGCGTGTTTTTGCGTATGAATGCTATTCTACCTGTCGCCGTTTGGCAGACCTGGTCTGTGTGCATGTGTTCTCGCACTGAGCCATCAAATTGCTTTTTGGGGTTCCAACTTCCTATTACACAAGTTCCGCGTTAGAATCGACGGTCAGACTGAGAGAGCATGAATTTCAGTGGGAGCATTCAAATTCTGTCCTCCACGAAATGTCGCCTTCCCAATTATTTCGAGGCTATATCATAGTCCTCGGGCCGTGCCGCTTGGTCGGATTGACTGATGATTGTTGCTTCAAGCTCTGGTAATCTTTCTTACTGATACTTATGTTCTGGCCACTTGTATTTTTAATTTGGTAGCCGAACA